CCTTCCTGGCTGACCACAACGCGATCGACGAGGTCATTGACGAGGAGGAGGCCGCGGAAGCTCTCGCGGTCAGTTGGCGAGAGCGCCGACAGGAGATTTCCAGGCTTCAACGAGGACGCCGATTCTCAGAGTCGCAGGGGGCCCGCAAGTCCTTTCGCATCGAAATCGAGGAGCTAAAGAAAAAGACTCGATGCAGACGATGCGGGAAGGTGGGGCATTGGCAGAAAGAATGCCGAGCAGCCGTTGCAAAGGCTCAAGCCAAACGATCGGCGTCCACTGCCAAGCTGCAACAGCCTCGGCCGATGTCCATTTGGTGGAGCATCGCAAGGAAGCTGAACACGAGGTTTCCCTGGCGCAGGCTCACCCGGTGGAGTCCTTCAACTTCGACGTGACCTTTGTGGGAGCAGCTGAGTGTTGGCATCCGCCTCCTCAGCATCCAGAGGCTCTTGCAGCTGGCTTGGTGTCGTCGCCCGGCTATGGCGTCATCGACTCAGGCTGTGGAAGGACGTTGATCGGCCGAAAGACTCTGGAGGCGTTTCAGACCAAGCTTTCCACTGTCACCACACAGAGCGTGGAGGAGTATGACACCGTGAACATGTTTCGATACGGCAATGGGGCCACGGAAGTGTCTTACAAAGCAGTTCGTCTGCCCGTAGCCATCGGTGGCAGATTTGGTTTGATTGATCGCTGTACAGTTCGCTAGGGCTACGCTAAGCTATTTTTAAAAACCTCCTTTTGTTTGTAAGCAAACACACTGATTTGTTTCTCTTGCGGAGCGCGGAGATAGTTTAGCTAGCGATCGCCATGGAAGGGTGGCTGCAAAAGACTCGGCTACGTGGTTTCCGGGATAGGATATTGTTTTCCAGCCTTTCCGAAATGACCTGCTAGAGATCGCCCCGGCGAGCTAGAGAAGGTCAGGTAGCAAGGCTAAGGTTTTCCCCAACCGAAATCCCTTTTTCCGGATACACCAGCAGCGCAACTGGGGATGATGGGGTAGGTCGTTTTGCAAGTGCTATGCAAGTGTCTGCAAGATAGAGTGAGAGAGAAGAAGATAGAAGAAGGGTCTTTGGGGTATCCAGACCCTCTCTGCTACGGTCTTTGGGGTATCCAGACCCTTCCTCTCTGCTTGCCTTCGATAGGGGTATCCAGACCCCTTCTCTCCACTCAATCTCATCTAGTGCTGATAGGGGTATCCAGACCCCTCTCTTTCTCTTTCGATAATTTTCCACGGCTAGAGTTTGACTCGAGTTTTGACGTTTGATTTGGGGATAGGGGGGCTAGCGACCCCCATGGCCTTGACAACTGCTTAAAAGTTGCTGCTAGGGTCTTCGGACCTCCGCTTCTTGCTAACCAACCATGGGGTCAAGGATGACCACCAAGGCAAGCTATTCGAGAATGGTGTTGATGCGCTGCCTAAGTTTGCCGCCTTTGTTACCACAGCTAAAGAATTGGCCGACCTGCTAAAGTCCGACTTTAGCTTGGATCCGGCGGCCTCCCTGGATGAGAGCGCGCAGGTGGCTAGCTACACAGTAGCTTGGCAAGCAGATACGGGTCAAAGCGCTAGCGGACGCAGAGGCATCCAAATCAGGGATATGGCTAAGCCGATCCCAACTACGGACTATATGGCGATGAGACAGTCCTTCGCTAAGTCCTGTGGGGAGTTGGAGGATAGATAAGTACATCCCCTCCAAGGAGTACATCGAGAAAAAGCTAGCGGAGCTAGAGTCTGGAGAGTTCCAGGCGGAGCCGCTGAGCGAGACCAGGGATGACATAGATCCTGATAGCGTGATACCCACCTAGAAAGCAAGCAAGGGCCACATCACGGTCAAAAAGGCACCCTCCACGGTACACATGCCCACGGGCCCGGAACAGCTACGCCACTGGCTAATAGTGATGTGCAACGCCCTGGCGGATAAAGCTGAGGTGCACCAACCGGGACATATCGGATAAGTGCAAGGACAACCTGCTATGTCTACGGGCTACGCTCTGGCGAGGGCCAAGGCGGCTCGATACCTCCGTGGACCTTGGTCCTGAGCTATGACCACGCTATCCGGAAGATGGCGTACGAGCTAGATAGCCAGGAAGGCTACAAGCTAGGAGAGGCTCTCAAAAAGGCCTGGAAGGATACAACAGTGAAAGAGAGGCACTTCATCACGCCACTCGCGCTATATTCCAAGCGCCCGCTAGAGCCTTGGCAGCCCTTCGCCGGGAAGGGAAAGGGCAAAAGGGCAAGGGCAAAGGCAAGACAGCTATCAAGGGGAAGGGTTCTTCCCGGACCCCGGATAACAAGCCCATTTGCTTCCGACACAATTCCAAGGGCTGCAAGAAGGGAGATAAATGCCATTTCTCCCACGTTTGCACCTCGTGCTTTGCTAAGCACCCCAGCTATCAGTGCAAGGGCGCAGCTGCTACCTGACCGGGCGCTCCGCCCAAAGCAGACGCACAGGATACCGCTACAGCTACTCCGGCCTCCGGGCCGCGTCGGGAAGCTAGCGCTACCGATAAGAACCAGCCCTCCGGGCCCCGTGATGCTACAGCAGCAGCCTCGCCCCAGCAGAAAGCTACAGCAGATAAAGTTCTTCGAGTATTGTATGTTTTCCTTGGTACGCCGCGGAAGCATGATATGATGTCATGCCTGCAAGTTATCTGCAGCGACTCAGGATACAAGCTGTCCATGGAATGCATTGATATGAAGAGAAAACCGAGAGTGGACCTCAGCTACTCCAAGCAACGCAAGAAAATTCTGGGCTGAAGCGTGAAAATAACTTTGGTGCAGATACCGTATTCCGTACCCATCATTTCCACAGTACCACGACCAAGCCGAATACCGCGCGGCCATTCCAGAGCGAATTTGCCTCCAGCGTGCAGCGCTAAGTGGTACTTAGTCGGAGTAGGCCTCTTTCCAAATCATTGCTTTACAGCCCCCCCCCTGCCCCTAAGAGTTTTAGGGATCGCTGTTGGTTCCTGCCTAAGGGCCGAGAGCCTGACCTGACCAAGGAGGGGTTCTTTGACCTTATAGCGGTAGCTTTGTTGGAGCCTTGCTGTTGTATTCCCAGCATGCCTCAAAGACCTGCTCAACACCTTGAGCTTTAGCAGCAGTAGACCGAACTCGTTTCCCTGGGCAGCTTTCTAGGTATCCAGGGGGCAGTGTGTACCTCTTGCGCATTCACTCCCTCGTGCTGAAGGCAACCAACACTCAGCCTTGGCTGCGTCCCTTCTTGCGCTTGCCGCCGCTAAGGACGTTCCTTTCTGGGTGGCGGGCCCTTCTGGCCCGAGGCGTCGACCTCGGCGCTTTCTTCACACTCAACGAGGATCTACACTATACACCTCTTTGCCTGTGGCAAACGAGCGCCTGCTTGGCCAGTGTTCCTGTGCTCACCATTGGCTGTTGCATGGACGGCGAAATTTCTTGCGTTAAGGTCGCTGAGCTGCCTAGGCAGCTCAGCTCGACCAACTTTTCGCCTCGCCTGTGCTTTGCATGAGGCCGCAGCCTGGCCCCTGTCCTGAGATTTGGATTCGACACTCTTGGTCGGTGAGCGTACGCATGTGGATTGATGTGACTCTCTTTTGTATAACAAAGAATTGGCATTGGGCTGACGGAGCCGTAAGGGGAAAGATGCGGATTTCGGAAGAGCATGCAGGAGGAAGGTTGCAGGCAAATCTGCTTTCTAAGCGCTGAAGCAGACACCTGTCCAACTTGAAGTTTTCGAGCCAAACAATTTTTAATGTCCCGATTTTGAAATGCTTCGCTGTTCCTCCCATGCAGTTACTCCGGCGATTTCAGGGTTGTTTGGCCGCTGGTGTGCCAGTGTGCCAGCCTGTAGAAGCTGCAGCAGGTGGGTGCTTTGGCAGCTTCAGATGCTGCAAAAACCGTAGCAGGACAGGATCGAAAGTTTTTTAACCAGCACGCTCCGCGCAGAAGCAGTGCAGTGTTTTTGGTGACTTAGTCGCGTAGTCCAGCATGCAGGGCGTGGGCAACAAATCTTCGCAGTGCCATAGCCTTGTGCAGCCTGTGCAATGGAGCACCCTTTGCCGCGCAAGCGTCTGATAATGAGAGGATCTTGACATCCTTGGACATCTGTGCGCTTCAGATTCAGGAATGCTCAGGAACATCTAAGCGCAAAACGTTAATGGCAGCGCTGCGGGGAGAGGGGTGGACCATCGAAGAAACATTGCAGGAGATGATAGGTGTCCAAGCAGACGCGCGAGTCCTCTCGTTGCACAGGCAGCAAAATCCAAGGAGGTAACGGCGCAGGCCAGAAAGCAAGGCTGAGTGCACAGAGACTTCCAT